ACTTCGTCCTCTCAGCTATGACCAGTTTCTTTTTTGGGTGTACATTCGCTTGTACAATGTTGACAATTTCTTCAAAGTTTAAGTCTTGTAGCATCTTCGGATAGATCAACCCACTGATGCTAGAAATAAATCCGTTACTTCATTTACTTCTCCTCTGTATTTGCTGTCACTCAATTCCTTGACTCTCGCCAACGCCGTGAAACATCTCATCCAAATTTTAAGCTCACGATCCTCCAACGAGATTAGATATCCCATCGTCGACGCCATGTTGTGTCGTATAAAGTTATCACAAATACGCCGTGTAGTCAAGGAAAGATAACTCCTTATTTATTATAGCAAAAATACAATGTGGCACAAGGCCAAAAGGGGGATTGAAGCTGGTCAACATTAACTATCCTATACCTAGCTAATCAGATTCACGACTCATTCATACATTACAATTTACTCATTCGCCACAAGAAGTCATCTTTCACCATTCACTCCTACATATACCACAATACGCCATATTTACAGGGAACCTACAAAAACACCCCATGACATAAAAATTACTTATCTCCATGGAAAAATACATATAAAAACATAGTGATGGTATGAAATGAGAGGGGGATGAACCCTAAAAACAAACTAAAATATGACAAAACACACAAACTGAAACTAACAGATCTTTGTAGGACTCGTCGACCCACTCAGAGATAAGCACGGACACTGGGCACAGATATCACTGCACTCCACAAGGGGGAGTACAGCAAGCGCTCGATCGCCTTCCTATGGTTTGAAGAGATTGAGTACAGGCAACCAGTAAAGGATGAGAGGAATAACGTACGTAAAACGCCTGTGGTGCCAAGTCCGGGCCGATGCTCCGACCTTTGCCTGTACTTCTGATCATTTCTTCTCTAGATGGAGTCCGGGCCCAAACCACACACCAAGAATGCGAACGAATCCGTCAATCCAATCAGAGCGTCCCGGGAGGGAGACCCCTTTATAGGCACCTAACCGCAAGCCGGAAGAATTTTTACGGTTAATCTTGAAACCCGTGACCTTTTCGTACCGTTCAGTCGCCTTCTGTACCATGGATACCTCATCGGCGATCGCGAAACCCTGGCTTGAGGTCCACTAAGGACAGTGATTTGGGGTTTAGCAGAGATATGGGCATGTAATCATCTAAATCCCGCACACCATCCTTGCTCTTTTTCATCAGCGTGACCACATTTTTCAAGTTTGTTCCCCTAGTCACTGACTAGGCGAAAAATTTGCAGATTGTCCTAAGCTCATCTCTGTGTCGTCGTACGAACATGTAGGACAATGAGGCCGAAGGGTGGTCCAAAAATTTTAGGTCTCTGCACGTGTACCTTATTCACGTCATTACCCTAATTAGAGAAATTTCTTGGGTCTTCCGTCAACTTCCGGTCGACGGAAATTACTTTTAAAAATGGCCTTAAAAGTCACCTTTTGTCTCATCTTTTTCCTCATCTTTTTTTTTTAAAGAGGATGACCGAGGTGCGGGGGCATTTCCTCCATTTCCTCTTCTTGACTTTTTTCTGCTCTGGTTGAAGATCTGCTCGTTGCTGCTTTTTTTGGCACTCCTGTTCCAGTTGAGGCTTCTGCTGCTGATTTTTCTTGCTAGTGGTTAGTTGGGTTTGTGGTTCTGGCCTCTTCCCAGGACAAGCTTTCGATAGATGCCCTGCATCCTCGTAGGACCAGTAGAGAGGTTGACGCCCTTCCACTACAACATAGACTGGACAACCGCCACATATTAGCACATTGGGGATGTCCATAAAGTTTTTTTCTGGTCACTGTGACCATAATTTTTACGTCTTCGGTGGCAATGTCAAACTTACTTTTAACGGACGATACATGAGCAATCTCCCCAAATTGGGCGAAAAAAAAAACTCAAGTTGTCCCCTGAAATGTATAAAAGCACTCCATGTAACGTCACTTTAGCCTTTCATGTACCCATATACTCGGTTTGAAACCTCATTTAGTTGTGACGATGCTGCTGGCCAGTGCTTTAGCTGCCTCTTCCGTTTGTAGCAGGATGTCCCAGATAGCCTTGCTTCTACGGGTTAATAATACCTTGGCGCCCAATATTGAGGCTTTTTAGTGCATCTTCTGCGATCCTTCTGTTGACGCCGATTAATTTTCGAGTTTTAATGTCATAGTCAACAGAGAGATGATTTCGCTATTAGCCGCCTCCAAAAGCGAGGCACTGGTAGCAATTCATTGCCCGAAACAAACTTCTCACACCGGTTCTATTTTCTTGGCCTATCTACTCCCCACGCTGAAGGACTTGCTGCAGTGGGTGTCGGCTCGAAATGTTGGGATTCTGCCACAATGTTACCGTTCCTACGTCACCACAAACAAAACAATTCAACGAAAATAAATTCATATAACGAAAAATAGATGAACAAACACAATAACTGACGTAAACAAACTGTACATTTACTTTTAACCAATATGGTGTGAAATAATCTGACGTGAAATCCAAGGAAAGATAACACCACTCACGTGTGTATAAAACCTTTCCACTTATATACAATCTGATTTTCATATCACCACACGAAGCATCAACTGCAAGAAGACAAAAAGTATGGTCATCAGCAAGAGAAAAATCTTGAGATGCGACTTACAAATTGGAAATATCAACATCAAGCAAGTACAGAAGTTTAAACATCTGGGTATTGTTTTAACAGAGAAAGGAAAATATGACACCGAAATCCTAAGTACGCATTGGACGAGCGAAAGATCTAAAAGCTAAGCAAAATGTTGAGAAACAGAAAAAAAAACAAAGAGTGCTATATTATATCCATCCTCTTACATGATAGTGAATGCTGTACAATCTCTTCAGGCGAAGAGAAAACTGAAGGCAACAGAAAAAAAGAACACATATTCAGAATCTGGAAGAGACTGCTAAAATCACTTGGACATACAATGAGGATAGAGAGCTTAGAAAACTTAACTCGCACAGGAAAATTTGAGGCCAAGAAATATAGGGGAAGGCACAAAGCCACTTACCTGACGAACTTGTGTGAACAGTGGTTGGAAGCTTTAGCAAAGGGAGAAAACTGCTAAGTTTCCGCAAGGAATAGGAAGTTTTGGAGAGCCATGATCACCCACGTAGGGACGCGTTACGGCACTAAGAAGAGAAAGTTCTTATCTGGCGACATTTCTAGTAATATTTCAGATTCTGGGGGGCCTCACTGGGGAAAGCAAGATCATCAAGCAGATCAATATTGCTGGTCTAGAGAGTTCAATCCTTACTACACGTTGTAGGTGATCTTGTACCATACGAAACTAAGCTTACTAGATATATTGCAGATCCATTTTAAAAATGGTACTAAGTTTAAAACAGGAGTCGGTAATATTTTGCTATGTGCCGACGTTGAGTTTGAAAATCATTCAGTGTACCAACAGCATACATATTTTTATACACGTCAAGGTCAATATACTGGTTCTACAATATATTTTATCTTTCTATATTTCTGAAATGAGGTATTATGTACACTATTAACTATTGTCCTCATATTTGTCGCCATATTTATTACAACATTTCGACCGTTGTACGCTCCTGCTTTCTTCGGGTGGTTGGAATGTCGAACTGAACCCTTATTTTCACTCACTAGATTGTTCTAGTCCCACGTTTAATGGATGTCAGTTATCAGTTATCTCCTGTTAATTTCCCTCTGAAAGTTCACTACTGCCTTAACCAACGCCTTTATCCACTGTGCCATGTGTTCTTGAGGACATCTGTGTATGAATTTCTGGGTATTATAAACCTAATGCCTTCAGCAACCATCTCCTGATCCAAGCATAGAAATGAATATGGGAACCAGTAATACGGAATGCCAGAGAAAAGTGATAATAACAACAAAAGTTGCAATATGAGCGCTGATAAAAACATTCAATGATAACAGCAAAAACAAAATTGCAATATGCGCACGTGGAACTAGAACAATCTACCCCAGTGAACGAAATAAAGGGTTAAGTTCGACATTCCAACCACCTGAAGAAGGCCGGAGCGTACAACGGCCGAAACTTTGTAATAAATATGGCAACAATAGCCCGAGATGGGGACAATAGTCCGAATAATGTAAATAGTGTACATAATACCTCATCTCAGAATCATAGACATATACTGAAAGGCCGAAACGTTGTAATAAATATGGCAATAAATATGAGGACAATAGTCTGAATAATGTAAATAATGTACATAATACCTCATCTCAGAAATATAGACAGATACTGAAAGAGCTAAATATCTTTGCGTTGTAGTAGTTATTGATTCAGACTTCATGACGTCATTTGCGGCTGCGAAGTATTGGAAATTGTGTGGCACGCGTGTCGTAGGTTGCCTACCCTGTTTTAAAAGAATAGGTATTTTTAATGTTTCTGCTGATTAAAGAAATAAGTTCTTGATTAGTTGCATTATAACTCTTGGAAAAGGAAACATCATGTTTTAAAATAACTTTAAAATAATGACTACCTTTGCAATTCCCTTCGTATTTTAATCGTTGCGAAAAGATTTTTTTTATTTCTTGATCTATCACGAAAAAATGAGAATGATAAGCGGTCAGGTTTTTCTTTTTGTATTTTTTCGATTCACCATTTTCTCATAATCTCATTATCTACTTTTTCTTTGCTCTTCTTTCTCTTATAACATCGCTTTTAAATGTCCGTTTTTACTCCGATAAATCTTTTAAAATGGCAATTCAAAATCAGTAAATCTAGCGAAAAATTGAAATTTCACTTGACCGAAAAGAATTAACAATCAAAATAAAACTTACTTTAAAACATCTTCACAACCGCAAAATAAATAGCTAGACATGTGCAATTCATTCCTTTTGAAAGTAAAATTCTAAAATATTTCAGTCTTAAATATTTTATTTAATAAAGTGGATATATATATGCATATTGTAGTTACTTCTGACAAGAAGTATTAGCAAGGAATATATAGTGATGAGTTGGAAGAATTAACTTCCTTTTATCTTCTTTCCATAATTCAGCCTGTCAGCCAGTCTAAATAAGCTTTTATTTCTTGTTCACCCTCTCTTTCTTTCTTTCATTCTTTCCTTCTTTCTTACTTCCATTTTTCTTTCCTTCCTTCCTTCCTTCCTTCTTTCTTTCTTTATTTCTTTCTTTCTTTCTTTGTCACACCATTATAACTTCTTTCTTCTTTTTCTCATATCAGTGCTATACGATTTCTCAAATCTTTCCTCTCTTCATTCTTAGACACATCAATGTTTTCTTTCTTTCTTTCTTTCTTTCTTTCTTTCTTTCTTTCTTTCTTATCTATAATATAATCCATACTATATTATCTATAATCCATGCATCATATCCGTTATTAAACGAAAACAATAGAATCATGTTATGTTTCACAGGAAAAGTTCTGATGACTAACTATAAACGAGCACTCTACAACCTGTTAAGAAAAAGGAGACGAAACATGAGTAACCTTTTTTTTATTATAGTGCACACCCAAAATCAGAAATATTTCAATTATATATATATATATATATATATATATATATATATGTGTGTGTGTGTGTGTGTGTGTGTGTGTGTGTGTGTGCGTGCGTGTGTCTGTGTGTGAATTATGGAAGGAAGATAAAAAGTTAATCCTTCCAACTCATCATTATATATATATGCTTAATATATATATATATATATATATATATATATATATATATATATATATATTCACCCAAAGCAAGGCAAGAGTGCCACTAGCGCACAAGGGGTTACAGAGAGTGAGAGCAAGAGTAAAGAGGGGGGTTACAGAGAGTGAGAGCAAGAGTAAAGAGGGAGAGGTTACAAAGAGTGAGAGCAAGAGTAAAGGGGGAGGGGTTTACAGAGAGTGAGAGCAAGAGTAAAGAGGGGGCATATTTGAGAAAAGGCTGTAGTGAAGGATGGAGATCAGCATCAAGGCCTCAGAAAATACATTCGAATATTTGATTATTATAACTATCAAGGAAGCAAATAGGAGGAAAGGAGTTCCAGTGGCTGACAAGTGCGAGAGAAGAAGCTGTTGGGGTAGAAGAGACAGTTACATTTAACTGTTTCGACAGTGAAAAGGTGGGACCGAGATGCCAATCTAGTAGCACGCTTAAATTCATGTAGATCGGGCACCAGTGAAAGTCGCTCGTTGGGGCAGTTGCCATGGAAATATTTGTAGAGAAAGACATAGAGAAGCCGTCTGTGAGAAAGTGACTGTGGACGAGATGCCAGATCAGGACCTGTCACACTGCACATCGCTGGATTTTGTCGAAGACCTCGATATGAACGGCGGGGCCGCCAGACCATATATGGCAACAGTGTGGCAAGGATGAATAGTAGATTTGTAGACTTCAAGGATGGACTCATGCCAAAAAACCTTCCGGTGCGACATAGAGAACCAACTTTCCTTGCAGTAGATGAAGCAATTGATTCAATGTAGTTGTTCCACCTCAGGTCAGTGGAAAACGTGAGACCAAAAAAGCGTGGACAGACGCTCGTAAAGTTGGGCATCAAACAAACCAAACTAAGCAAAGGAGGAATAAAAAAGGACATTTGTACTTAAAATCTCAAAAATAAAGTTGAAATTGCAGAAACTCAATGAGGGAAGACATCTTGGAGAATTCAAAACTCACAGGAGATACTAAAATGAAGAGAAGCAAAGGGAAATGTGCAGCTTGCCTAACAAAGTTTTGTAAACGGATGGCAGAATGTGGACTCGGAGAGATACTTAGGTGACAAACATTACTTAAAAATAAAAGAGTTAGGAAATAGTGGAGAATCATGACCATCTACGCTCTGAAGGTACATCAAAGGAGATTTACATAGCGGGGCTTATAATCGAAATTTCTAATGGAATAGAAACAATTGATTACCGGAAGAATCCTGAATAATTAACGATTTCCATTTAAGAATTTGTAACCCGCCCCTCCAATATTTACATAATAAAGAGAACTATATTGAAAATACTTTTAAATTACTCCAATATGTTAATTGTTTCATATATAATGCTCGTCGTAAAGCTTACTAAATTCATAGAATTAGAAGTGAAAATCATAGAATTAATCTTTATAAGACAAGGGAAAATTACTATTTACAATCTACAACCAAAAAGAATCGATGTAAACTTAATATAATACTTTTTACAACCAATTCAAAAATAATAAGTGATTCGATTAGCACAATAGTCCTGGGTATGACGAAAAACTACATCCAGCAGCAAGGCCTCTGATCAGGGGATTGAAGGTTTTCAGGAGCGCAGAACCAGCTCTTAATTCCTGTTGTTCCTAGATCCACCTTGATCCCGGGTGGTCGCAATTGTTAGGGTCCCAGTTTTGGTTAAATAGTGAAACTCCCCCCCCAAAAAAAAGAAAAAAACACCATTTAAGTATAAAAATACATTTTTATATTAAGAATAACAGCAAGCAATAGCTTTATATATATATGTGTGTGCATGTGTGTGTGTGCGTGTGTGTTTGTGTGCGTGTGTGCAATATATATATATATATATATATATATATATATATATATATATATATATATATATATATAGCCAACACTACATATTTACAGTAGAATAACCAACAATACATTTTATCTCTAGTTGAAGGCATATAATTGCGTTCAAAATATTTAGATTTCGGCGTTGGAAGTTGATATGCCGCTAAACAAAATCAACCAACCGACTAGCACAAAACAAATAAATTTTTTGAAGTAGGAATTTATAAAATAGAATGTTACAAAAAATGCATAGGTGAAACATCAAGAAATTTAAACAAAAATTTATTTTCTCACACTTCTCGCCTGTTTAACTTTCATCCGATTTCTTGCTTCCCTGCCACCGAGAATCTTCAAAGTTTTAAATACAGCACCAAACGAAATTGGTGTGAAATCATTAAAAACAAAAAAGAGTACATGAACACAAAAGAGATCATTTACAAAACGAATACCCACAATGCATTAGTCGACATCGTAGTAGGTTTGACGAGATACAGTTTCGACATAAGAAATGCAGTATTAATTAAAAGAGAAAGTAATTTATTAAGGCAAAAGTGTATTGAAAGGGTACTAATTTCTGAATCTTATACAGCAAATTTGCATCCGGAATTATACAACATGACTTCTTCCTTTACAGAATGACTGAAATAAAAACAAAAAGAAATGCGAGTTTCGTATCTGGATTACATTGAAATCTTCAAATATTTAATTTAAAGCTGACAATTCCTATATCTTCCTATATCAATGTACAATTGTAACTGGCGTATATTGTATTTTCTGTCCTATGTGATTCCATCGCTGAAAAGGTTTGTAGTCTGAAGAAGTCCACCCGATGGATGAAAGGCCTAATAAGTTTGCCTTCATTCTGTCTTACAACTATCCAATATTAATCTATGTTATATACCGTACTGATGGGTATGCCCCAATCCTCATAAATACGTTGGACACTATTATAAGTGTTTGGGGGGGAGGGTAATATGCTGTCTAAGTAGTCCACCACTAGCAGTAGTTTACCTACTTCACGCCGCTGGCGAGTATTGTATTTGGTGATGGTATAAAGATTACCATTTCATTTCCAACCTCCGTTTTGGTTATTCCTCATTCAGTAACCCTTCCAAGGTTACAACAGTCTAATATATAGATTTGTATATCCTTCCCAATATTAGTCTAATAGACAGATTTGTATATCCTTCCCAATATTAGCCTAATATACAGACTTGAATATTCTTCCCATTAATAGCCTAATATATAGATTAGAATATTCTTCCCAATATTAGTCTAAAATATGAATTTGTATATCCTTCCCAATATTAGTGTAATATATAGATTTGAATATTCTTCCCAATATTAGTCTAATATATAAATTTGTATATCCTTCACAACATTAGCCTAATATATAGATTTGTATATCCTTCCCAATATTAGTCTAATAGACAGATTTGTATGTCCTTCCCAATATTAGTCTAATATATAGATTTGTATATCCTTCCCATTACTAGCGTAATATATAGATTTGTATATCCTTCCCAATATTAGTCTAATAGACAGATTTTTATATCCCTCCCATTAATAACCTAATATATAGATTTGTATATTCTTCCCAATATTAGTCTAATAGACAGATTTGTATATCCTTCCCATTAATAGCCTAATATATAGATTTTAATATTCTTCCCAATATTAGTTTAATATATAGATTTGTATATCCTTCCCAATATTTGTCTAATAGACAAATTTCACTCCGTCTGCATATAATGGATTCCCATTTAGAGTTCGTCGGTTTATAAAAAGCTGAAGCATCGCTTTGGCAAATTGCTTTTGACAGTTTTCTTTTTCTGCATTTCGGCCTTCTGCATTGCACAAACAAAAACGGAAAGGAGAGACCACGATATAAAAGAAGGGTAATATTGAAAGGAAAACATGAAAACCACATGGAGGTGATTAGATTTTCTTTATCAGAAAACTTATATTTAGCATCTTTTCTTACTCGGCGCATCAACTCTGCTTTCAGTTTACCATTATCTTATCATCTATATTTCCACACAAAAGACTGCATTTAAACTCGTCTAAGGACTACGGCTTAGAACTGTTGGTTAATTAGGCTTAGGCTTAGTGGATCGGTAACACTCGTTGAAACAAACTCATCAAAGTGGAAGAAAATCTGTGTTTGCAAGATAAGCACCCTCATCATATACAAATATACTTCATAAGTAATAACGAGCTTAACATAACTTTACCTTAACACAGTGTCTTAGATTCATCGGATGAAAGTACTAGAATATTGAAACGCAAAATACCAGTAAACTAATGGCACCAATCTGATGAAAACCTACCTGATTTGAACTGAAACGTTGTTAGGTAGGGACATAAATTCGTTACGTTAGTAAATGAATTTCACTTATAATACTCTTGGTTATAATACTATTCCTTGGTTCCACCTTTTCAGACATTCACAGCTAAAGCCCTGTCATACACCGATTCGGCTTATTCTCATTCCCTTCATATTCCATTGGTCAAGAAGAAGTTCTACCCAGACATCTTCTTCACAACTGTTGAATTGTAGAACAGACCTTCCAGAGAATGTTTCCACGAAGCGCATGTTCAACCGCTATCTATCCTACATATCCTCATAATATGCGCCTCTCCTCCCTCTCTATACAACCTTACAAGAAAACCTCATTTAATATCCCTGTATCTGGAGTGGCTCTTAGGTCTTGTATTGGGTGAGCAATATTATAAAAATTATTCAACCACTTGTCATTTTGTTCCACTATACCGTTTGAAAACTTTCAGACGCAACAACAACT